TCGTGGTGACCAAAACTGGATGCAGTATTCCAAGTGTGGCCTTACCAAGGCATTGTAAAGTGGTATTAATACTTCACGTGATCTTGATTCTATCCCTCTGTTAATGCAGCCTAGCACTGTGTTGGCTTTTTTGGCAGCTGCAGCACACTGCTGGCTCATATTTAAATGATTGTCCACTAGGACTCCGAGATCCCTCTCAGTTACTACTATTGAGCAAGGTACCCCATATACTATACCTGTACATTTGGTTTTTCTTGCCTAAATGTAGAACTTACTTTTTTCACCATTGAATTTCATTTTGTTAGATAGCACCCAGTGTTCAAGTCTGTCCAGATCCTCCTGTATCCTAAGCCTGTCTTCTGGAGTGTTGGCTATTCCTGCCAGCTTGGTGTCGTCCGCACATTTGATGAGTTCCCCATCTATCCCCTCGTCCAAATCGTTGATGAAGATGTTGAAGAGCACTGGGCCCAGAACAGAGCCCTGGGGCACCCCACTACACACTTCCCTCCATGTAGATGTGATTCCATTGAGGACCACACGCTGAGTACGGCCGGTCAGCCAGCTACGGATCCATCTGGTGGTGATGCTGTCTAACCCGCATTTTTCTATCTTATCAAGTAGTAGGTTGTGATCTACTTTGTCAAATGCCTTACTGAAGTCCAAGTAAATTATATTTCTTATTCAAACCCACAGTATATTGAAGGGAGGGAAGAGTACACAATCCTAAGAGAACCCAAAGATGCTTTTTCAAGAGGCAACTGGACTTTCTTGTTTTTATTTGAAGACGTTTCGCTTCTCATCCAAGAAGCTTCTTCAGCTCTGAGCTGTAGAAGCTTCTTGGATGAGAAGCGAAATGTCTTCCAAAAAATAACAAGAAAGTCCAGTTGCCTCTTGAAATAGCACCTTTGGGACAACCATGACCTGGATGGCTGAGAATCTCCATAGACAAATCCTAAGAGAAATAACTTAGCCATAAAGGCATGCAAAGCATACACTAAAAATCTGCTTAAAAATACCATTTAATTTTTTTAAAGCAAGTACTTGATTACTAGCAGTAAGTATATACACAAATATAAAATTATTGGTATTTTCACCAGAATTTTAAACCATAGCATGTTCTATTTTTAAAACACTTGAATAAATCAAGAAACTCAGCCAAATGACACATATTGTAACCAGTTTTTCTATCCCTTAGCAAACTAATTTAAGAAGGGATGAAAAGCTTTAATTTCTGAAAACACTGAAGGGTTTAAAATGTGATGTCATTCACATATGGAGGGATTGAACTGTAACTGGAGGGGAGAAGGAAATACAAACATATACAATCTAAATGAGTTATCTAGAATTCTTTAGAATGCAATTATAGTGGTATCCATCAAGACTTGCCAGCACTGCAACACAAGCTCTGTCCCTCTGGGGTGTGCATTCAATGTTGTGATGCTGTTGACATCAATCAGACTTCTCTTGTTTTCCTCTGCTGCATATTTACAATGCTTTAAATTACTGAATCACCTTTTTGTGTTAGGAGGGGGCAGCAGTAGTACCATCTATACTCACCTGTAGCATCACTTCTAAACACTCTAGAGTATGGCTAAGATGGAGATTCAAGTGAAAGCCATTTTCCTGTTGGTTAGTTGCAAGATGTTATGGCAACAGCTGAGAATTAGAGATGACCCCTGGTGGAAAAAAATGAGGAATAAATCATAATACAGGCAATTCCCTCACCTGTGAAGTGTTTGCAGAATTACTATTTGCTTGCTGTTGATTAATTTGTACAAGCTGCTGTTTCTGCATTAGTGCCAGTTGCTGTTGATGATTCTGGTATTGTTCGGCTGTAAATGCTGAGCAAAATATAAAATGAGAACACTGTATCAAAATATGTACACCTTATATGTGCATCCCTTAATCTAAAGAATGCTCAAAATGCACAGGTGTTAAGCATAGTACATTTATTCAGTGCTCCAGCTCTAGTAGGAGCTCATATTAACTGCACTTCCAAAATAAAGCTTGGTTGTATACCATGCAGGATTAAACATTTGAACTGCTGTTCTAGAGCAACAAATTGCCATACTATGGTCATCATACTAACAGAATTTCCAATACCCATGTCACATAAAATGTGTTCCTTATTCCTACTTTTAGATACTGATAATTCAACTGAATGTATATATGTATGTACATGTATATATGTGTATTAGAATATAAATTATGATATTGTAATAATTCAATTTCCCTCAATTAACCCACCTGGGGAAAAAATCCAGTCAATAAGAAGGGAGTTGATTATGCTGATTTACAGAGGAATGGAGCAAGACTGTATTATACTATTTATTGTCTATGGAGAGTTCTAAAAATAGAAAATAGAGAAGTTTCATTTAAATTTTTGTTTCACTGCATCTTGATGAAAATCTCCCTAATGCCAACTTTTAAAATTAATTTAGACGGAAGAATAAATTATAAACCTTGTTTCTAGAACAAATTGGCAAGTTTTCCAAATTCTTTTTTTTAATATAAATTTTATTAAGTACAAAAGGAAAAAAGAAATTAAAAAACATTGAACGTAGTGTATCATCCTTGACATATATCTTTGTCTAATCATTCCATACTGTACATACTGTATAAGAGTAAATATTATATATTTATATGCAGCTATACATTTCTGATAATCTTCCTCTATTTATATCCCTTCTATCGACTTCCTTCTTTTTTCCCTCCATTTGTAAAATTTATTCCAAATTAGGTAATATTCTGATTCCTCCTGGTTTTTTAATTCTTTAGTCATCTTATCCAATTCTGCGCAATACCAAATTTTTCTTATTAGCACATCTCCACTAGGCACTTCAGTTGCTTTCCAATTTTGGGCAAACAAAATTCTTGCCGCCGTTATCACATGTATAATTAAATATATATCATCTTTGTTTATATTTTTTCTAATATTCCTAGTAGTAGCATCTCTGGTTTATATTGGATTTTTTGACCCGTCATTTCTGTTATCCATTTCCAAACCTTAAGCCAATAAACCTGTACTTCTTTACAAGCCCACCAAACGTGGAAAAAAGTATCCTTTTCCCTTTTGCACTTCCAGCAGAGTGGTGAGTAACCACTATACATTTTTGTGAGTCTAGCCGGTGGCAGATGCCATCTATAAAGCATCTTCTAAAGATTTTCCTTATAAGTTGTCGCCAATGTGATTTTATTGTTACGTTCCCAAATTTGCTGCCATTGGTCCAAATTTATAGCGTGTCCCAAATCTATTGCCCAGGTAACCATCGTTTCTTTGACTTGTTCCTCATATAATTTATATTCTAACATATATTTATATATATTTTTAATTTGTTTTTTCCCCGAACCTAGTAATATTTTGTCAAGCCCCGTATCTTGTCTATTAATTCCCCACTCTTTCTTATCTTTCACATATCTCGCTTGGATCTGAAGGTAGGACCACCATTCCAAGACTATTCCCTGTTGTCTCAGCTCTTATCTTTGCTTTAGATGGCCTTCCTCTGACAGGATATCTTTATATGTAATAACCTTATCTTGTCTGTATAAGTTGGGGTATATAACTGTTTCTAATGGTGAGAGCCAACCTGGAGCTTCTATATAGTATTGGCATTTAACTATACTCCAACCTTTTTTTTTATTATTATTATTATTATTATTATTATTATTATTATTATTATTATTATTATTATTATTATTATTATTAATTGAATTTATATACTGCCCTATCTCCCTTACGGGACTCAGGGCGGTGAACAGGCGATAATAAAAACCACGATAAATATACACAAGTTTCTGTTCTAAAATCAAATTAAATAACAGGCCTGCTCTAAAAG